TTGTTATACCTTAAAAACTCTTCAGAACCTTCAGAAGATAAACCAGCGTGAGCGTACTGCATTGTTTCATTAGTTCATAAGAACAGCAGTAAAATGTTATTATCTGTCATGATATATCCATAATAGATATATCTTTTATTAGGGGGAAAAACTTTTTCGTTACAAGAAATTGTCGAGATATGCATAATTACGTTACTCAATGGGCTGTTTGCGCTTCGTTCATTTCGGGGAATCGAACTTCAGCTTTTAGCATTTATTTCCGTAAACTTACAGCTAACCCATTAGGGGTCACTAGGGTCCCGTGGGCTTTTCCCTTTCTTTTTTTTTTTTCTTTTATTTTTAGTATAAAGCTTGTGTACTCCAGAAGGCGCAGTTTTTCTTCTCAAGGCCTGATTATGTTTAAAGGTTTCCAAGGTCAAAGTATACGTGATGCAGGAAATAAGTATACATGGATATGGTTATTAACCTTTAACCATAACCTTTAAAATTATTCTAGTGTACTCTCTTGTTAAATTCAAATTAGCAAATTATTTCGTGTATTTTAATAAATTACTTGGTGATGTTGTGTTTTGTTTGATTGGATATCGCACGGGGGTTTGTACAAATAATTGTGCATTTCGTAGTGTAAATATTAAAGTGCGTTAAGTGTGAGTACACACACAGAGAGAAACAAAAAGTCGGGAATTAAATCTTTGTCTTGCATGTCCATCTTGTAGAAGCTGTTTGCTCACTGTATTTGCCTGACAGTTCACAATAGTAGGATATAAGAAACTGTGACAGAAATGCAGCAGAAAAAGTAATAGGATTATAACAGTGGATGTAAAAGAAGTTTTGAGATACAATATTTCTTATAAATTTGATTCACTACTACAGTGTGTTAGTAGATGATGCTTTGTTGCCCTACAAACACTTCAGCATACAGCTAAGTTCAATATAATGAGAAGATCGAATCACCCATTTGGTTCTCACTCTTGTTTTGTTGTAAATGTATCATAACTGTTGGGTAGTTGTCCTGTGTCGGTTAAATGTATTCCGTTCATTTTATATAGCTGTGAGACTATACATTATTTGTGTAGAAGAAAGATAAATCTGGAACAGATAAACTTGTTTGTTGGGAAGCTAGTTTGTTAGAATGTGGTATTTAATGTTGTCTAATACCTTGAAATTGTGAACTATTTTACTAGGCAGTACTAATTACCAAATATATGCAGTTTCAATGAGACAGTGTTATTAGGTCTGTTGATCACTATTAATCAAAGTGGGTAATAAGCAGTGCTCGTGTGGTCTGGTTCACAGCATTGTAAAGTACCTTACAAAAACCACTATTATAAAATAATATCAATGGTCTTCATTTCATTCTTATGGAGTCAGGCAACTGATAATAAATCACATGATTTAAAAGTAAATGATTGGTCATTTAGTCATAAGCTTTTTATAATCTCACCTATTCTTGTCTCAGTTGTTATTTTGAAATGAGTCATAAAGTTTAGTGCTTCAAATTGTTTTTGAGCTACATGGCTAAACTTCAAAGAGAACATTTGGGCGTTTTACTTATGTAGAGACACCGGACGAATATAAGTTGCACAATTAAAAAAGTCTTTTACGAATTGGTTACAAGTGTATAAGCGGCCTTAGCAGAAAGTTATACCGCTTCCAAACAGATGGTGTTGTTGATCGGACACCTCAATAAATAAATAAAATCCATGGCACAAGCAGTTGACTATTCTTTGTTGTTTCTGGCTTGTTGTAACCGTACCGATTCCGAGACTGAATCATATGTTCGCAGCCGCAACTGACGTCGTGTCAGTGTACAGGTAGTTAGCAACAATTGGTATTGGACGTATAGTTATTATTATTTTTATTTTTTTTTGCAAATGAGTTGGGCTTCATCTGATGCGAGATAACGGGAATTTACTGAATTGGAGAGGATTAGATATTCAACTTTTTTTTTTCATTCATGAACACCATTCCATATAGCGACTAGCAGTGCTGGGAATATAATGCTAACAGGAAAAAAAATTAGCAGAAGCACCAACCTGTACATCCTGTGGAATGAAACCATTAATGTCACATTTTATGCCCCTTTATGTTGCATTTAGCTCACATCAGCCTATTGGATGATTTAGGCCATCCCTACTTTTTAAAAGTGGTTAACAATTTTCATTAGGAAAAGGAAATTGGTACGATGGTGGCTTATCATCACCGATCTTCAATCTAATCGAGAATGTATAGAATACTTCTGAAAGTCACGTCACATCCTGTCAAGTGTCTCCCCTCACTAAATAAGCTCTGAGATTTTTTTTTCAGAGAAATGGTTGAGGACACCTCAGGGCCTTATTCACAGACTGAACTTAAACATTCAATATCGATACCAAGCTGACAGTTTTGTTTCTGATAAATATACCTATTATGGAAGTGCTATGTCACAAACTATAATGATGTAAAACTAACACCTATACCTAATGTTCACTGATGAGCATTGACTGAATTACAGGATAACATGAGCTACATGCTCACCAAGTAATTTACATATTCAAAGGGCAATAAAACTATAAAATTTAAATAGAAACAGATGTATACTGTTATAAGCTTTAAGCTATTTATGATAAACAAATGTAGTTTCTTCTTACAATTTGAAATCATTCTAGAATGAAAAAAAAAAGAGTAATTTAGATTTATTTTGTATTTCTTTATGGTTACAAGATCAGTGAAATTACCTGAATGTGTATAGAATTATAGTAGAGAAAATAACAGATAAAATATAAAGTTTAAGTGAAAAAAAAATGCTTAAAATTTATTTAGGAAGTTTTAGAAACTACACAAATGAAATTTGAAAATTTTCAGACAATGAAAAGTATTTCTTCTAATCTTAATCTGAAAATCACTTTGCATTCGGAGCAGTCAACACTTTTACTCCGTATATTCATGAAAAAATAATTCATTAAAAATTCTAAGTTTTTGTCTTAATGCTTACTGAAAGTGTGCAAAATTTCGATATGACGCACAAAACATGTTAGAAGTTATAGTATGGAAACTATAAAGGTCAATCTGGGGTCATGAACTCAGCCGAGCCCATAGTGAAAGTGTTAAAATGCATGGTCATCTGATAGAGCAAGACTATTTTAAGATAGCATTTCAACCTCTGTATTTATATGATAACCAGAGAAAGTACCCATCTTTGCTCGGGTAATAAGGTTGATATATTCTAGATGACTATGTCAGTGTGTGTATTCTGAACCTATTTTAGCATCCCACAGGTGGACATAGTCTTCAATAGTTTCTATTGGTTTATGCAAATGAATCGCAGCCTTACTGTTTTAATTTTGGCATCATTACGATTTTAGTGACGGGAGTGCAAGAGGGCCATGAAACCTTGTAAGTGTAGGGGATGTTGGTATGATTTAAAGAAATTAATAAATAAGCCTAAAGTAAAGACATAGTGTGAGATAATGTAGCCTAGAGTCAAGTGCATAAAATTTATTATAAAAGTAAAAATATCGATTCAATTTTAAACTTACATCTTTTCTGAGTTAAGGTATTTTCTGTTATATCCCCCAACATTTTTAATAAAAAAACAAACCTCTTTAATCAACAGAGACCCTAAATTAAGAAATCAATAAATATTTTTCCAGTTTTGTTGTTTATACATTTCATTTTATACTTTCAGTACATAGACTATCAACAATATTAGGTTATACTTTTGTTGCCAAGCAACATGACAAAGCCATTGTTAGAATGCATTGTTACCGAAATGCACTGGCTTTTCTATACATTAGAAGTTGTTAATCTAACTGATATACTACAGGGTATACTATGGGGTGGTTGTTGGATATACAAAACTGTTTGGTGTAAGCATTATTATTTAATTTATTTTGTGACATAATATTTAATGATTATTTACTTTTCATAAAAAGAGAGTTAAAAGCAATTATTTTAAAGGTGATAGTTATGACAAGTTTGGTTGCATAATTCAGTAAGAGTGATACATTGTGTTGTTGATGCCAAGTTACTCAAGTCTTCAGTATATTTATCTTTACATTAAGTGAGTATTGTTACTTAAGTAAAGTTTGAGGCCTTAGTGAACAATGTATAAATATAACAGACCAAGCGAGTGCAAGTAAAGTTCAGTCAGAAAAAAAGTTGGAAAACGTGAAGTTAGCCGGCATGCAAGTGACTAGCCTTAACAGGCTATATTTTAAAGTGAATTTCACAGTTTAATAGAGATAAGAAGAATAATTTGTCTTGTCATAAGGTGTTCTAAAGTAATTAAACCTACCTGTGTGGACATTGACAAAAAGGAGACAATTATACACAGTTCCAGATACAACTGTGGTAACCCATGGTGTAACACAAGTGAATTATTCACTGATACTATTGTCATAAGAGTAGAGAAAAATAATTTATCTTGTCAATTGGATTCTAAAGTAATTGGATCGGCCAGTGTGGACTTTTGACAAGAAAAGGGAATTATTTAGGACTGTGATATCCTATAGTGTAAAGAATTTTTGTACATATGTTTGAATTGTTTTGAATACATATTATTTTAAAACAAGTGGATTGTGTGCTATCCATTTATTGTTCTAATATATCAACAACAAGTCAGAGACACCTACTGTAGAAAATTCCAAGCCCATATTCAAAAACCTGGCATTGGTAGTACTTGCCTCATCATCTTCAACGGGCAATATGTTTGTGGTTAAAAGCACGTCTGTCTGTGATTTCTATTTGTAATATAAGGAACCACTTCTTGTCTACGTGGATTTTAGCTAGCTTCTCATTAAAAATATGTGCATGCACATGTTCATGGATAAGTAATAATATCCAGGTGTACATCCTCAGGGCCCACTTAGTATGGGTGCTAAATTTCAGGTTTCAAGGTTCTTTCCTTGTGGAGCTATGGGAGTCACACACACACACACTCCCTTTTATTATTATAGATTTAAAGATATTTTAGAGCTGGTAGTTTTTCTAATAAGGGTTCATCATTTTATAAAGCATACCTTGGCATGGAAATTTGAGGGGAGAGTCCTAGCTCCTGTTAGCCTCTTCACCAAGAACTCCTTCCAATCAGCATGTTTATGTTCAATGGCTAGTGGAAAAGAATGTTTATAATGAAGAAAATCAAAACCTTAATTATCTGGTTACTTTAAAAATTGAAGTTTCATAAATTGTTGTCATAAGTAGTTTTATAAAATACATGCAAATTTATGGAAAAAATAAAAAAAGATTTTCATTACTTTGCAAAGAAGAAAGCTCAAAATTACACAAAAATATTTTAACAAAATGGCAGTGTAACCCTATCAAGACAGGCAGGGTGTAGTTGTGTCACCACTTTGTTTTTTTCCCTCACTTAAAATGTTTAACCCAATTGCATGAAATTTGGTGTACACTTTCTGCACAATATGCAATTTGTGCTTGAAAAAAATTATAAATTCAAATTTGTATCATATTTTAGGTTATACAAGTTTGTTTTAAGGTGCTGTTTTTAAAAATAAACATAAAAAAATATCTTTTTTTTATTGCATGTCTAAAATCATTTAAATGTATCCAACTGTTATTTCTTCAATAAAACTATAACTGTGCTTCTTTGATCTAATAACTGTTTACTCATTTTCTCATCTATTGACACAACATTCCACATACAAAGAAAATTACTGAATATTTTCATGGATATGCTTTTTACTTTTTATCCGTTCTTATTTTTATTATTTCTTTAAATCATTTAACAACTTGTCAGTGTCTACTGCTATCTTTTTTTTTCCTTCTGCCAGCAAGCTGACAACATGCTTGTACCATTATGAATGTACACTGCTACTGCTTGGATAAAATGCAGATTATAGCAATATCATACTGATTGTACACAGAATCTAATATCAGTACATATAAATTTATAATGTTGATCACTTGATTTCAATGCTCTTACCAAATACATATTTTAAGATTTGTTAATTAGGCTCCTAATTCCACTGTAACTTGGTTTTTACTGCCTAATGAAGTTGTCTGCTCAATACGTTTCACAAAATAATTAGAAAAAGTTTCCATTTAGATATGTCAATTTGTTCTTTATTATAATTTACCCAAGTTTTCAGGCCATTGGTTACAGGTGTGTTGTATAACTATATAGTATACACTTATGTCATGTAGTAACTTTTATTTCATTATGAATTTTAAATTTACAAAATATATACCGAGGTTCAATGGTTATTATCCTTTTATGTTTGAAGTGCCTGTGTTCGATATATAGTTTCATTTCCGAATTATTAATTTTTATGAATGCAAATGCAGAAGTGACAAAAATAATTCAATCAAGCTAAAAAGAGTTAATACTTTTTGGTATGCTAAACCATCATAATGCACTTACTTTTAGGTGGAATTAGTGGCTTTCCTTGGGATGCACACCAGCCAACTGGGTGGATGGATTCTAAACACAGATTTACCCAGAAGTCTTTGCTATCATCAAGACCAAATCCTTCATAACGAAGCAAAGCCATGTAGCCTACAAATCAAAACACTTTCTCTCTTAGCACCTTCTTTACTCATTTTCTTCAACCTATTTTAACAAATTAGAATAATTCTAAGGCTAAATAAATAATACCAATTATAACACATCTTTATGTTTTTAGTGATAAAAATCTTGTAACAAAGCAACATTTAATTCGTGTTTGTCTCTGCAGAGAGACATTTTGCTTTTCTATTGTTTCTTCTTCTCCTTCTTCCATACACTTTTCAAACAACTGTTATTCCTTCATATCTTGGTGGATTGACTTGAAATTAGTAGGGTTATACCATAGTCCAATACACTCAGACACCTTTTTTTTTCATTTGTGTGATTTAGGCCTTTTTAAAGATTTTACGGGGTTAAAGGTAAAAAAATCCAAAAATGTATATTTTTGGCTCCTGTGTAGTCACTCTTACAGCAATCAAGAAGAAAACTGGCACAAATATAAATTTTCCTGCACCCAAAAAAATTTGGATTTCTCCATTTTTGAGCTCAAAAAAAAAAAATCATAATTTTGAAGTTTTGGGTCAATTACTTAGTTGTATTTTGACCAGTTTACATGGATACAAATACACTTTTCTATAGGTCCCACAAACTAATAAACAAAAATGGTGGACTTCACCATTTTCAGTAATTATAGGGAATTTGGTACAAAGATACTTTCTACAGGTCCCAAACAGATATATATAGACAATTTTGAAATTTTTTGTCTTTTGCTTAATTTTTCAGCAAGGAAAGCACAATTTGGGGTTTTCATGAACTACTCATGTTAATGTCAACCAACTTACATGGAATTTGGTAAAAAGATACCTTCTTACAGGTCCCAAGCAGTGACATAGACAATCTTCAATTTCTCTATATTTTTTTAATTTTTCTGGTGTTAAAATTGGCCATGTTGGGATTGCATGAAGATATTCTGCATTTGCTTGCATATGTTTTTTTTTTAGTTTTTTACTTATATTTTATAATGCGAAGAAATTTAATTCTAAAAAAGCAATGGAGAATTCTAACAGGATTCAATTACGACATATTTAACATTATTTAAAATTACTTTAAGTTAAATGAGAAAAACTTAGCATTAAAATGGCATTGGTGAGGGCTTTTAAAATCATATTTACTAATGACCTAAAGGATAATTTTCTCACAATTTAGTTAAGTACAGTTTCAGGCAAATGACTAACTTTCATGATGCTGGATGTTAAACATTCCACCAATTTTTAATTAATCAGGCAACAATGAATCAAAAGGTTGTGTGTACATTCTTATCTTTATATTATGCTAAAATTTCATTAACTCACCAGCTATTTTTACAACACTTGCAATCCAGTAAAAACTTGGAAAAAGGTTTCCAAAATTATCGCAATCTCTATTTTCCACTTCTATCTTCATTCCAACAGTAATGTTATCCCAGCAATCTGCTAATGCCACCTTCAGTCAGACAGATCATTTAGTTTAACAATTGAGTACAAAAAATATGGTCAAGCATTTTTGGTTAGTGCAAACATTGATCAAACAATACATAAGAATAAGCCCAAGAATAATTTTGTTAAATTAACCCGTTTTTTTTTTCCACTTTTTATACTTAGAAGATATGTTATTCTACCAAACTTATATTTAACCCTATCGTCACAGGTACCCTTTACTGCACATGACACAAGGTTTTAGTGTTTCACATTCAAAATGTTATTAAACCACTTTATTTTTTCTTATAGCAATTAGAATAGCATAAAATCTTAGCTAATAATCCATGTTTTAATGGTATACAAGTTTTAAGTTCTTAATTCTACACGGTAATATTTAAAAATATCCTGAATTTCCACTAGTGTGACCCACATGACATTTTG